GGGACCGTGGGCAAATTTCTCCCCCCCGCGCCCGAATCGGCCCCTTTTGAAAGAATAAACTAAAAAAAAAAAAGCCCGTACCCTTCTATGTAATGATGTTTCCTTTGAATTTATATTAGTTCACACAAACACTCCATCCATGCTTTTGTTCCGGCTCTCCGGTCCAGTTTAAGAACCCATTGTGGCCCTCGAGTCAAAAAGTTTGCCCACCCCTGCCATAGAGTATTATATAGCCATTAAAAAGGATAGATAACATATTCTGGTTAAAAATAATAAATAGCAACATATCCTGGCATGGAAAGATGCCTCAGTGAAAAAAAGCAAGAAGTATACACTAGCCACTAGAAGATTCCATCTTTAAGGAAACCTGTGATGGCTCAAAAATTTAGGCCTTGCCCTAACTGGTTTGGCTCAGTGGATAGAGCATCGGCCTGCGGACTGAAGGGTCCCAGGTTCGATTCCGGTCAAGGGCATGTACTTTGGTTGTGGGCACATCCCCAGTAGGGGGTGTGCAGGAGGCAGCTGATCGATGTCTCTCATCGATGTTTCTAACTCTCTATCCTTCTCCCTTCCTCTCTGTAAAAAATCAATAAAATACATTTAAAAAAAATTTAGGCCTAAAATTGTGTTAGGGAAGCTGTTCACCTACTTTTCTATTCTGAAAGACTCTGGGAGTCTTTCATATTCTACTTTGAATTTATCACTTTTTAACAAGAACAGAAACATCTGAGACAATAGAGCTTAAGAAGAAGACTGAGAAGGTGAAATTAATGTGTGTAAAGAGGCCAGCATAACCACTGGCACCTGCCAACGAGCCCCGTGACAGTTGTGATGTACTGCCCTGTGTTCATTTTGAGGAGAGTGGCATCTGAGGTCTGGACTCCTATTCCCCATCCAGGGCTCCCTGGACAAGCATCTCTTGCCTGATCTTCCTCCCTCTGGCCACTCTTTCCGACTCATATCTTCTTCCAGCTCAGCCCCCAGCCAGCCTTAGGAGGTAAATCTGATTAGGTCAACCAAGGGCATCAAGCTCTGAGGTCAAGAAGATATTTTTTAAATTTCCTCAAATTATGGTGATCTACGCAGTAGTTGACTCTTAAACAAAATAGACTTGAACTATGTGCCTCCACTTACTGTGGATTTTTAAGTGGACCTGCGCTGCTCAAACCTGTGTCCTTCAAAGGTCAGCTGTATTTTCCACCCATAGTTGGGAATCCATTTGTGCAGAGGGCAACTTAAGTTACACAGATTTTCAGTTGTGTGGTGGGTTGGCATCTGTAAACCCACATTCAAGGATCAATTGTCATTTTTCACAATAGCTTGGGAGAAAGTATGATCTAGATATGTGTGTGCTAATATGGGACCATCACCAAGGTGTATTAGATGGAAGTAGAGTTTCAGAGTAGTGTGTACCATAGGCTGTTTGTCCATCTGTGTTTGGGAGCCCGCTGAGGAGGAGGGAGGCACAAGGGCTATGTGAGGTGTGAAGTGACCGGGTCTCCCTTGCACAGCGATCCCTCTGTGAGAGCGAGCGTGGGAGAGTCCAGGCGGCAAGAAAGCACACCCTAGTGTGGACCCCGAGACAGAGCCCCCCTGCAGACTGGCATCTCCCTCTGGAGGACAAAGACGAGTGACAAGCACCCCTACACGGCTTCCTGCAGTCTGTTTGAAGTGAAGTTATTGCACGGCCCCAAGGACTCCGCTTGGCCCAAATATTCCAGTAGGTACCTGGGAGCTTCTGCCTGGCTTGGAACACGGAGCTCAACGTCTCCAGCACTACTTGCCCAACCCTCACCTGTGTTCAGAGTGCCCCACTGCTGCCATGCTCTGGGAGACAGTTTTGTCCACTGCACAGCTTCTGGGAAGCCAAGCACCATTGCCTATTGCTGTGAACAGCCAGGTTGGGCTGTCTCATGCTCTCCTACCAAGGACATTAGCACAGGAGATGGCCATCCTTAGGTCTAGAATTCTCAGGTAAACTTTTGAGTAGTAGCCCTGACCCGTGTGGACATGTAGAGTTAACTAAATGGTGTGCGGTCACGAACACCTTGTGGGGTCATTTTGTGCCACCCTGGTTGGGTGATGACCATGCATCGCCAGCCACTGGTGCTCACACTTGGCTATGGCCCACTCGCTCAGTTCCACGGCACACACAGGTGGGGCATACCTCTGGACCAGCAAGCTGCACCTTCTAGGCTCACAGGAGGTGAGATTCCAGTTTTTCAGAAATGCACACAGCTACAGAATATACCACCTTGCATAAAAAGGGTTCATGGACTCTTGGCTGAAGAAACCTAAACCCAGGACACATGGAATTTTGGTCTGCTTCCCTCAAAATTTTTAGGAAATGTGGAATATATCAAAAGTCATTTTACACATTAGATTCCAAATAGGAGCTGAAAATTAATTCAACAGTTTAGTTGTTGAGATTGTTAAATTTCACATCTGACGTACTCCGACTGTGTTGAAATGAGGTCGTAATCCAACATGACCTTGTGAGGACATAGCCAATAGGTGGCCATCTACAGGCCAAGGAGAGAAAAACCGACCTGCTGGTAACTCAATCTTAGGAGTTCTAGCTTCCGGAACTGTGAGAAATGTCTGTTTCAGCCATGCAGTCTCAATGGCATTTAGACCCCACAAGGTGCTCATGACCGCACAACCATTTAGTGGCATTCAGTTCTGGCAGCCCCAGCACACTAATACAGTCACCATCCCAGTGTAACAGCAATTCAAACGAGTGCTCAGCCCCCCTTGTCCCACCCTCCTGTGGGACACAGCAGTTTTGTTAATTAGTGTGTCCCTGGCTTGCTCCACGCTCTTTAGCCTCCCTCCCCATCTTAAAATGCTAAGCTGGTCCTGCTGGTGATGTGAGGAAGTTCATGTGTTCTGTCTGTCCCACCTGTGCAGAACATCCTTCACCTGTGTTTCTTGCCTCCTGCTGGGGGGGAGATGGTCTCGATCATCCTTTCCCCAGTGCCTGGCATGGGGGGCGATGGGGACATTTGTAATCGTGTAAACAATCAAAATAAAGTGAAAATAAAAATTTTTAAAGGAAGAGCAGCATCTATCCACTGAGCCAAACCGGTCAGGGCTTATTTTTGACTCTTACATAAGACAAAGAGACACTTGATTAAACTCACATTTATTCCCAGAATGCCTAATTCCGTGACAAGCAGGCTTGAGCAAGCTCTGGTCATTCTGGCTTTCAAGGGCAGCGCGTTCAGACAGCTGCCTGCAGTTCTACCTCTTGAACTCCACCTGTGTGTACACCTTAGTAATGTCATGGTACCTGCCTTCAGGGGGCTGGTAGTTGGAGATTGGTGGTGTGTAAGCTGGCCCTTCTCTCTCAAAGGGAAACAGATTGTAGTCCCGCTTGATGGCCTCCGCATAGAGTTCCTGGGATGTGAGTTGCAGTTCCTGCAGAGCTTCCTGCTGGGCCTCAAGCATGGACTTGATGGCTTTCCTCTCCATCTCATGCTCTCGCTGCTTGTACAGGGACCACTTCTTCAGGAGCAAAGCTCTCCGTTCTGCCTCCTCGAAGGAGAGCTCTACCTCAGGCCGCTGTCTGGGAACACAAATCCAAAGTGTGAAGCTGGGAGCACTGCCCTCACTGACCACAGAGTCGGGGACTGCATATGGCCCAGGCATCCTCCCTGCCAGACAGATGGAACTCAGGAAAGAAAGGGACAAATTCAGGAATGGCGTGTTGAATGTGGTGGCAGCTGCAACTGACACTAGGAACCAGGGCCATTTGCTTTATGTGGAAATAGGAGACAGTGATCCTGAGGAGATTATAGTAGCACGTCCTCTTTCCCAGGCAGAGACTGCCTTTGGTGAGAGGTGACTCTGGAGAAAAGTGAAATGGTATAACGAAAACGAACACCAAAATCCCAGGGAGTCAAGAGCCTCTTACCAGCCCTGGAGTGCCAAACACCTGCCATGTCCCGCTTGTATGGCAAGGTGCATCTTTATAAATAGTATACGCTTTTCTAAGACAGCAACCCTGCACACAACACATCCCCACTACAAGCATTTTGCCTCACAAAGCAAGAGGCTAAGGGTTTTCTACCATCAGGATGGGCAAGGCCCAAGTTGTCACAACTACAACTTGCAAAAGAGCAACAATATGAACTTTTGAGCAGTGCCGATAGGAACGAACTCTAGCATCTGGCCTGGCTTATCAAACAGTTATTCTGAGTTTCTTTCCCACATTCAGCCATTCAAGAGCACCACCCAGGAATGTTTTTCAACTCCCATGAGACACGATCAAGAAGAGGACTCAGCCCAGGGCCAAGTCAGCCCAAGCCCACTGACCCCCTTCCCGTTACTGGCATAAACGGCAAGTAGAACTACCTTTAGGTGATGGAACTCCTTCAACCCTAGAGGACTCTTACCTCACTTTATCCATGAACTTCACAGGGATAATAAAATCTTCAATGGGAATTAGCTCCTGGCTAGCCTTTTCTAGTCTTCGGATCCTCTTTTTCAAGCGGTCCTTTACAGCTTGGTCTTTTTTAGGATCCACCTTCTTCTTCTTTCTCAGAGGTTCTGCTCTGATGGATAAAGCAAACATAAAAAATTTTCCTCTTCAGTTTCACAAACATACTGAGAGGCATGGCGCCAGGTAAAGCACCCCAAACTTGTACTGAACGCTCCACTGGGGAATGAACCGCATGGTCCTAACCTTCTAAGCTGAGAGTGGCAGGGAGATGGGTGGCTTCCAACCTGGGGTCCTTGTGAGAACTGTTTGGGCACTGTCAACCCAGGAAGGGGTGGGAAAGCTTCATGGGGCATCCGGGTATAAATTAAAGGGAAGTGCTCATCTTTAGTGTTGGAGTGCAGGTATGCCTTGGGATTGCACTGAAAAGTGGAAATACCAAATGGGTGAATTAGAAGCCAATTACATCTTAGATGGATTTGTGATTGATAAAAATGATTTCAGTAAGACTAAGAGAAAGCATAATAAAAATGACTGGCCTGTCCCTACTTTGGGGGATTTCTTAACAAATATTCCCATCCTAGAGCATTAACAAAAGTCTTATTTACTCTCAGGAACACATTTCCTATGGTGATAATCTAGTATTAAGAATAATCTAATCCTCTAGCATTAAAGCCAAATTTTGTGAATCAAGTCCCTAGAAAGCATCCAGAGTTCCAGATGGAAAAACTAGTCCTCACACCTTTCCCCCCACCCTCCACTTCTCCAGGGAGTCAGAATGGGAAGGCCCATGAAGAACAGACGTGTATGCGTTGCCCTGTAAAAAAAAACCACAAGAATCCATTCAAAGTAGTTATTTAAACTACTTTTATATTCAATTTTTGTTTTCTGATTACAGGCACACCAGTATTCCATACAGAGACAGAAAAACATCCAGCTAAATTTAACAGAATTTTTGTAAGTTAATGTTGCATACCAAAGAGTGGTCTTGACTTCTGTTCCAGTGCACACCTACCTCCCGCTGACGCCCCCAAAGAGGTCAGGCCCACATTTGAGCTTACCTCGTGGGGATGAGTTCCCAGAAAGACAACAATGATGCTCGCTGGTGGGTGTCTCTAACCTGTGTCTGCCAAATCCCCAGACGCCTGAAAGAGATGAGTATGTACAAATATCCGATTCTCCCCACTAAACAGAAGGGGGGAAAAATTACAATGCCCTCAAAATCTAAGGCGCTTGTACTAGATGTGAGAGCAAGGTTAATGTGCGAGATTTTTCAAAATCCCCCGTTCACAACCGAGAGCAGTGGGCAGGGTCCCTGCTCGCTCGGGGCCCCGAATTCTCATCCACAGGTAGAGGCGGGGCAGCCCGTTTGTAACTGAGATGTCCGTGGTCAAGGACGGTCAGGGAGGAAGCACAGGCCAGGCCCTGGCCAGCCCGCGCGGAACCCCCCGCGCGAGCGCCCCGGACACCCCGCGCACGGCCTGACGTCCGCACTCACCAGCACGGCGAACGCAGAGCACGCGCGGCAGCTCCCAAAACCGTGGTGGCCATGGCTTCCAAGGCAGCCGCCGGCTGCTTCCGGGCGCGCACCTCGGCGGTCCGGCCCACGGTGCCTCGCGCTACAGTCCGGCGGTCCCGTCGCTTCACGCGATCGCGTTCCGGCCTGGGGTGCAAGCCGCGGAGGACTGCATCACGCCCGGCCCCGCCCGGCCGTAGCGACGGCGCGCGGGCCCGCCCCCAGCGGAGGGCTGGATCACGCCTGGCCCTGCCCCCGGCGCCGGTGCGGGCCCTTTCTTCCGCCTCCGCCGGGCGCCGCGACCGCACACGTCACCCCTCCCGCCCCCACTTAGTTGGCCTGCACCCTTGGGAGCGCCAAGGCTCCGCAGTGCAGCCGGAGTGGCCAAGAGGATGTCCCTTTACTCCGGGTCTTAAGTGTCCACATCTGTGAAAACAGTCCCCGATCCTCCAGTAAACGCGCCGCCTCGGCTTCCCCGGTGGCGCTCAATGGGGCTGGGTTATCCCCCTGCATTCGTTCAGACTCGGGGCCGCGGCCGCCCGCCTGCCGGTGGCTGCACCTGGGCGCCGGCACGTGGCCTGGCGCTCACGAGATGCCCAATAAACGCGAGTTGATGAATGACGGAAGCTGGCTAATTAGTCGGACTGCTCACCAGCGACGTAGAGCTGGAGAGGCTGTCCACGCTATACCCCGACCCGGTGCGGCACCGCCGGCCTGGGCTGCCACTCGAGGCCCCGCTTGCCCGCCGCGGTCCCAGCAGACCCTCCCCTTCACCCATCGCTGCGACCGGGCTGGACCCAAAGCGGAGCCTCCCTCCGCTGCCCCGACCCGCACAGGAGCCAGGGCGGCCCCGTCCGCGCAGGGAGCGGTTTCCCGCCGGGGCGATTTGGCAGGTGCGCGCCGTGACTTCCGGCGTTGCCCGGGAGCTGCCGGAGGAGGAGCGGCGCAGGGGATGCGGCTGTGGCGGC